GTTAACTTTGAGGTTACTTACTATGGCAGCCACTTGCCCCCCACCTCCCTTGGTTGCCAGAATAAGGGAGGAGGCAGGGCAGATTATTCTTACCATCCCACATGTACCCACACGTAGCTCTTACCAGAGGCAGGAGGTGAACAATCTATGCAGCCTTGCTAAATCTCAGCTTCTATCTGCGGCTCTGACACCTTCATCATGTCCCCGGGGTATGGGGGAGCCAGGGCCACACCTGAAGGAAGGAGCTAGGGTGTGGTACTTGCTGACACATTCTCAAGTACTTGTCTCTGTTTCCCTTCTGATATCTGAGAGTAGTTCAGGTGTGAAATGAGGTTGCTTTCGGTGGTCATGGTGTGAAGTCTCTTGAAGGGGGCTAAAATTCTGGGAATCAGGTATGGGGTGACCCTAACGAGTTGCTTTCCAACTCTCTGCATGCTCTTTCACTGTCATTAGATGACACCCATGCCCAACTGAAAAACGCCAGGGCAGGACAGACTGATCTAGTTAGCCAGTGGCAAGAACTTGGAAGTGTAAAAGGCCCTGATGGGTTGGAAGCACAGGGACAGCAGAGGGCGCCATTGCTGTGCAAACACACCCTGGGGCCGAGGCACCCACCCGCACACTTTTCCTCCCAGCCTCTCTTCCCCTCAGATCTACACAGAACAACCCCCTCATCTCCCCACCCCCCTCCCACATGTTCCCTTACAGGCACACCCGAGGTCAAAGAGACTCCAGGCTCAGATTCTCCAGTTGACCGCTGAGGGTCCCTCGGCAGGGGTCCCGCACACTCCTTTATCCCACCTCCACATTGCTCTCCTGAACTGATGGCAGTTCTGTGCAATGAGGAGCTGGGGGAAGGCCCTGGGACACCTGGTTTCCTTCCCCAGCCTACAGCTCTGCCCCTCAGTGGAAGATGTTCCTTCAAGTGTTATTTACAATGGGAAGTCAGCTGAGGACACAGCCTGGGTACAATGGGGAACCACAAAATGACAGTTGCAAAGGCTGTGAGGTAAGGTGGACTCATGTTTACACTGAAATGTGAAGGTTAAAAAGCATGACACTGAGCTGTTCACTATGTCAACAGTGTTTTTCCTATAGATAAAGACAGAAAGAGAAGACAGAAAAATTAAACAGGTGGTGCCTGGGTGGCTCAGTCATTAAGGGTCTGCCTTCGGCTCAGGTCATGATCCCAGGGTCCTGGGATCGAGCCCCACATCGGGCTCCCTGCTCAGCAGGAAGCCTGCTTCTCCCTCTCCCACTCCCCCTGCTTGTGTTCCCTCTCTCGCTGTGTCTCTCTCTCGTTGTGTCAAATAAATAAATAAAATCTTAAAAAGAGAGAGAGAGAGAGAGAGAGAGGGAGAAAGAAAAATTAAACAGATTAAGGTGGGGAGCTGATTATTTTGTTTAATTTTTTTTCTTAAAAATATGTCAAATTGTAAAATAGTTGCCTCTGAGAGATAAGGTTTTTGGTGATTTTTCCCCACTGCTTCTTTCAAAAATATTCTACAATGAGTAAGTATTACCTGGATAATCAGAGAAAAAGAAGTTAACACACACACACACACACACACACACCTGAAAGAGCCTGTTCTCCTCATGTGGCCGCATCGTGAACTGAGGAGGGAATGTCCCCTTTTCCCCCAAGGCTGCCTTTTTCTCCCCACCTGGTTCCACCCTCATCGTCCTCTTCGGAGGTTCTCCTATCACGAAACCAGAACGTAAGTGGATACACTTGGAAAATCCAAAGCAGCTCTGATCCCAGCCTCCTGCTGGTGTGAGCCTGGATTCCTGTGGTTGAGACACAGAAGAGAGGGGGACAGCCCTGGGGGAGTTTTCCTGAACTCTCTGCAGGGCAGGAACAGAACATATGTCATCTCCACTGCTGGACCATTCCCCATGCTTCTTACTGCTGTTATTTCAAAATGTTCAAGGGCAGAAGTTTCCACCAACCCCTCCACTAAGGAGGCCCCTATCCTGCCCCCATGAGAGCCTCCAAATCTTTCTGCCCCCCCCCCACTCTCCCCCAGGATTCTCCCTATAGACCAGAGAAATAGGGTAGGCGTGAGGATGAGGGAAGAAGAACTGCAGCTTTCACAGATGCCGGCAGGAAAGGAGCTTTCTTGTCTCTGCTGGAACATGGCAGAGATCCAGGTTGGGGAGTGGTGGAGAGGAGAATATTGCTTAAACCTTCTTCTGCATGTGGGTTTCATCTTAACTTCCAGGGACACAAACCTGGAGTCTCTGCAAACATTTCCTTGAATTATCTGCTAATCCCAGGAGGCCCTGAGAGTGCAGAAAGCAATGGGAGATGGAGGCTGGGTATCCCTGTGGGAGGGAGGTGTGTGTGTGTTTGAGAGAGGGGGGTGAAGTGGCATGGAAATGAGGAGGGAAGCAGGAGACCCGGGTTCAAATCTCAGCTCTGCTCTCTCTGTGCTGGGCAGCTTAGGTGAGTTCCTGCTCTCTCTGAGCCTCAGCTTCCTCTTTTGTGACTCAAAGTAGTAATTAAGGATCCCTGTCCCTTTCTAGGGCCGAGGGACCCTCTCTGAAGAGGTTTCCTGACCTAGAAAATCAGGCTCTTGAGATCTACCCCCTCATCAAAAGAAGTATCAGTCCAACCTTCTAACCCCAACAAACAGGTCCTAGCCATCTGATGCCAAATACCTCCCCAATTCTGTCTCTCAGCACCCTTACCTCTCACTTGGTGACTAGCCACCCCACTCTGCCTCTTCTCATTCTGTTCCCTCTGGCTGGACTTCCCTTCCCTTTTCGGGTTAACATCTACTTGTCTTCTAATACTCAGTGTGGATCTCATCTTCTCCAGGAAGCCTTCTCCAATTCTCCACTCACTGGCTGGTTGAGGCACCACTTCTCTGGGCTCCTATACAATCAAGGGCATGTGCCATTTTTGCCCTTAATGGCTAGTAATTAGAGCTGAGGTTTGTTGAGTACTTACTGAGTGTCTAGACCTCTACCAGGCTCTTCACTTAGCATCACATAGTTGGAGCCCAACCATACCATGTGAGGGAGGTGCTGTCTTTATCCCCATTTTCCAGATCAGGACATTGAGCCTGAGGGAGGTAAAGGGTGAGTGGTGGGGCTGGGATGTGAACCCAGAGCAGTGTTGCTCCAAAGCGGGTTCTAAGCTTCTGCTTCATACTCTGTCAGCCCACCTTGCTGCCTGAACATAGGTGCGATGGGTTTCTGTTTAGGGGTACACGCTCAGCCTTCCTCTGACCGATGAACACCGGGAACCACCTCACACCAGACGGCGCCATGGGGGTGAGCATCCCCAGAGGATGAGAGCCATGATTCATCTCTGCGACAACCATGGGTCAGGGGAGGAGGCACCCAGGAGCCATGAGGTGCATTGTGAAAGCCTGGGCTGGGCAGGTACTGGTTCACAGCTGGTTCTCAGTAACTGTTCATTGGCAGAGGGCAGGGATGACCATCCCATCCCCACTTTACAGCCAAGGAAGTTGCAATCAGAGAGGAGTAGGAAAGTTGCCCAAGGCCATGCCTAGGTTAGAGGAAGCGCAGAGCCTTGAATGCAGGACACTTGGGGAGCCTGGGCAGAGTAAGAGGAAGGAAACTGCGCCAGGGCTGGGGCCAGTGGGCCTGGGGTTGGCAGCTTTATGGGCCCTGTAAGTCACTAAGACGCGACAGGGCCCATCCCTGCTCTAATGACCCCTGCTTGAATGAGGGCTTTGTCCCCTCCAGGGGAGCGGGGCCCTGGGCCTAGACAGTGACAGGTGACTAGTTTATGGCAAGCCAGGACAGGGGGGTTGGCTGGGAGATAAGGCTGGGAATGTTAAGCCTAGAAGCGGGGAGCCTCTTGCCCCGTGTAGCCTTGGGGAGATGCCATACAGAGCAGGAGCCATGCCCCAACGTCCCGCATTGCCCATGTACAGCCTCTGTGGTGTCCCTGATGGAGGCACATCCATGAGGAGGCACCCATCCTTAACCTCCTCCCATGCATGCTCCATGCCTCAGAGGGGACACTACACCAGAGCTCGGTTCTCCCCCATCTCGCTGGCCCCCGCATGCTAGGGGGGCACACTCGCAGGTGTGGAGCAAGGGCAGCTCCCCCATCACATTCTTCTCCCCTGGGAGGCCCCAAGGGGATGGACTTTGAAGTGGGTCCGAAGGTCACTGATCAGTAGCCCCTTAACCCCACCAAAGGTTTTCAATCTCTCCTGCCAGTCAGGGGGCTGGCCTGGGGGGCTCACACGGACCCCCTGAAGTACATTTCATTCCCAGGAATAGGGTTCCTCCCCACTCCATTCCCCAGTCCTGAGAGATATATTTTTATAGCCCTGAGGACATAAATCCACTCCCCAGAAAAGGCCCTAGGGTGTGGAATCCCTCCCCTAACTGCCACAGCCTCAGCTGCTGATTAAATTCAAAAGCAGTGTAGACAATAGAGCCCTAAACATGATGTGGACGCCCCCTCCCCTCTCCGAAGGATCAAAGCTGCTCCTTGAGGCTGTGATCCTGGGCCAGGAGGTGTGGGGGGGGGGGAGGGCAGAGGTTAGAGCCAGGACTCTGAGCAAGGAGGAGGCCCCTTTGCCTGGAGAGTTCTAGGAGAGGCAATCCCTCTTCAGAGGTCCCTAGCCTAGGTTCAAAGGCCAGTGGGAGCAGAAAGGTTGGCAGCGGATGGGGAAGCGACTAAACCAGAAAACAGGGGCTTCCTGTTGATGAAGGGGGCCCAGGCCCGCTGCCTGGTTCCCTGTCCCTCTTCCCTACCCAAGACTGAGCTTTCCAAACCCCCACGGAAGGCCCCACCCGATGTGGGACGCAGAGTACCTAGAGCCATCGTGAAAGAGTCTAGAGGCCCTGCAGCCGGGGGGAGGCAGCCAGGAGACAGAGTACCCCTCCTGAGACCAGGGGCAGCTTCCTCTCTATGACTGCCCTCAGCCCCGTTGTCCCAAATGCTAGGGCTTCCTTCAAGCCTGGACCCCCCTGAAGATCCTGGCAGATGAGAGAACTAGGGGTCCATTCAGACCCCTGTCTCTTCTCTTCCCATCGCATCTCAGGGGTCTGGGGGCCTCAAAACAGGAACCAGCCCCCTCCCTCTGACCCCATAAGCCCCTTGGGATCTATTTCTCAGTTCTGCCCCTCACCGCCCCTGTCTTCCTGCTCTGGCCATCACATAAATGCTCACACAGCAATTTAGAGGCATCTTCATTCCGTGTTGGAAGAAGTGTCTTTGGTCTGCTTAGAAATTAAGTTTGGAGCAGCCTGGGAGGAAACAGAAAAGAGACCAGATAATCAGCGACCACAGCCTGAGCGAGAAAAGCAAGCCTTCTTTCTGGGGACACCGGATTCAAGAAACACCAGCACACATCCCTCGACAGCACCATCCTCGGGAGGCTATCTCTACCCGTCCACCTCCAGCCCAGGCCTATTCCAAGGCCCCGGCAGACTGGAGGGAGCGAGAGGGCGGCGCGGGGGGTCCAGGCCAAAGTGATCAAAGGCAGAAATCCGGGCACCCACCCTTGTATCGATCAAGTACCTCGCGAGGTCACCACCACCCCGTTCCCAAACCAGAGACCAGGTGTGAGACGGGGGCGGGCCGCTCTTGGGTGTGCGGGGCAGGGCGCTGCCTCCGAGGCGAGAGGAGCAGAGCCGGCGGCGGGGGCGGGGTGGTGGCGGTGCGGGCACGAGGCACAAGGTGGCCCGGCAGGGGGTGGGAGCACAGGAGGGGAGCGGATTTCAGCGCAGGGACAGGACGCGAGGAGGGGAGGCTCCGCCAGGGGGAGGAGCCGCTACCCGCGTCCCTCTGTCGGGGCTCCCTCCCGTCGCGGCTCCGCTATAAAACCCGGGGCCGGCATGATCGCGGCACCCCCGGAGGCCTCCTCGGCACGCGACCCCCGGCTCGGCGGCGTCTCGGCTCCTGTGCGGGATGCGGCTGCTGCCCGCGCTCCTGGCCCTCGCCGCCGCCCGGCCCTTGGCCAGCGCAGGTGACAGCGCGGGCCCCCCTCCGGCCCCTGGGCGGGCGGCCCCTCGGCGCCCCCAGCCCCAGTGCGCGCGGGGCGCTGGGCGCGCGCCGGGCTCGGGGCTCGGGCTGCGGGGGCCACCGCCGCGGCCACGGGGCGGGACGGCGGGCGGGGCGGCCACGTGCGGCGGCGGAGCGCTGTGTGCACGCGTGTGCGCGGCTGCGGGGTTTTGCGGGTTCTGCGGGGCTTCGGGGCGCTCGGCCCGGCGAGCGTGCGAGTCAGTGATGTGGACGCTTCTCCGACCAGCCTCGACGCGCGCACGCCGTTCTCGCCCTTTCTGACGTTGCCCGCTTCTTTGGTCCTCAGCCTGTCCCCGGGTCGCTGTCCGTCCCGCCGGGGCTCAGTGCTGAGGGGCTGCTCCCCGCCCAGAGCGCGGGGGACCTGGCTTTTCCGCTTCGCACCCTGGGTTCCTTGTCACCCGAGGCTGCCGGGCCCCCTTCCCCTCCCCAGCCCCCAGCGCCCTAATGGGAGCCTGCGGCGGGGTGGGGGGTGGGGGGTGGAACACGAGGAGACCCGAGGCCCTGGCCGAGCCGGTCTTTCCGGCCAGGGTGATTTTCGTTTAAAGATTGATGTGGCCGAGCTCTTAATTATTCACCTAGGTGGGAGGTGGCAGGGGTTGTGTGTTAATATTTGATAAGGAGCTGAAAGCGCCTCCAACCCCACGGCTGGGCACAGGGATCCGGGGAGGCATCTTTTCTGCGGCCCCATAGGGGACCATCTCCTCCGCAGGAAGCCCTCATCCGCCAGTCCCCGGCTCAGCTTACCCCTCCGATGGTCCCCCGTTCGGGTCCAGCTGGCCAAACTTCCTCTCCAAAGCTAGATGCTCCTTTCTTGGAGTCGTGGAGTGAGGGGTGAAGGTGCCCTCGGCAGCAGAGAAGGCTTTTGCAGGAATGTGCCCTTTGCAGGAAAGATTTAGCTCTGTGTGTGTGTGTGTGTGTGTGTATGTGTGTGTGTGGTAAGGGGATTGAGGGGAATCTTGCAGAAACTACTGGCTTCTTCCTAGGAGAGGAGGAAGGAGGAAAGAGGAAAGCCAGGCTGTGAAAAAATTTATATGTAACCATGGAGTGTGAAACCTACCTAAGGGGCTGGGCTCAGTAGAAAGAGAAAAGAGAAACACTTAGCAATTAATTCCGTTGCTTTGTAGCTGTGTGGCCCTGGGTAAGTCACTTCACCTCAGTTTTCTCACAATATAGAGATAGTAATTCTGACTTCAGGTGTTTTAAGGATTCAGGTGAGCTAGTGGATGTAAGTGCTTAGTGCGGTACCTGAGTGGCGCATGGCAGACGCCCCCATGCGTGATGGCGTCATGGCTCTACCACTGGCCTGGGGCCAGCCAGCCAGGAATCTAGCTCAGCTGCCCCCTCCTACAAGCTGTGCTCCCCTTAAGCGTGGGGCTTTCTGACTGGAAACTGTCTCGGGACCTGTCTTCCTCTACCCATTTCATCCCCTGGGACACTTGAGGCTGCAGAGTGACCAGGATACACATCAGACGACCCAGAGCATCTGCTGCCATGGAGGGAGGAGGAGGGGAGAGGATCCTAGGTCTCTTTGGGGCCCCAGAACCCTGGCCGGGAGATGCTGAGACTTTGCCAGGACATACTAGGGTTTTGCTGAGCTGGTTTCCAGGGTTCCTTCTTCCCCACAGAGGGGGTGGGTAGAGTGAGCAAGGTCCATCAGAGAGAACTTCTTGAGTCAACTCTAAAGAAAGGTGTTGGGTGGGGGGGCAAGTCAAGGGTGGGGGGACAGTGGCTGGGTGATTGGTGATGGTTGCGAGGTCTATGAATGCATCCCTGGTCAGGGCGGGTCACCTAGGTAGAACCTGGAGCTTGGAGCCAAGATCTGTCTGTGGGGAGCCCCTCTCCTTCCCAGGCCCTCTGGAGATGGACTAAGGCAGCAGGCTTGTCATTATTTGCAAGGGCAGCCCTCTCATGAATGAATACAGGAACCTGAGCTGGTTTGTGACCCTGCCATCTCAGCCCATGGACACAGACCTGACCCCTGGCCTCATCAACACTGTTTTCCTGGTTCTTGCCTCCCGAAGAGGGTAGTTACAAGAGCATTCAGTCACACGGGTCGAAAGTCTCCACAATTAAGACAGTGGATCAGAGGTCACCATTACAAAACCAGGAGCCGTAGCCAGAGTCAGGGAAGAGCACATTCCCGAGAATGGCTCAGCCTGAACCAGATGGGCCCTGGGGAGGCTGAGAGAAGGGTCCGCTCTTCCTCAGGACTCTGGCTTCAGCAAGACTTCCCCTGGAAGAGCTTCCACTGGGGCTTCCAGTCAACCTTGGAGGCCCCTTCTGCCTTCAGGACCTTTGAGAGGGGAGGACACAGGTGAATTACAACAAGGAGCCTTTCACGGTTACAAGTGAGCTCCATCCATCGTCTCCTCAGACCCTGACCACAGTGCCGGGCTGTTGGGTGGCAGTTCGTTCTGCCTGAGGTAGAATGGAAGGCTCGGGAAAGTTAATGACCTCTCCCGTAGAGATTAAGCAAGAGCGAGAGCCAGGACTGAGCCAGGACTGAGCCAGGTGAGCAGGCTCCAACTTCACAGCTCTGACCACCTGCAGAGAGGGGCCTCTGCCCCTTGCAGAGTTGACACACATAGGGGTTCCTGGGATGCGGAAGTGCCCCTCGGTGGGGGGTGGGGGGCAGCGGATGGTGGGGAGGACCCTGCAGGAACTGGCAGATTCTGAAAGAGGTCGGACTGGCATGGCAGGCGGCAGGCGAAGCCCCGGACCCAGAGCTGGCAAACGCAAAGCCCTAGCTGGCTCTGAGGGCCCTGGAGTGAGAAGGTGCCCGTTTTCCGGGGATGCTCACTCTCCTGGCCTGGCTCCCCTCGTCCCCTCCCCTACTGAGAACCTGACCTCCTCCTGGCTCCTGCCCCACCCTGGCCTCATTCCAGAGACCTCAGCAGAGGTCGGGTGGATGGAGGCAGCCCCGAGAGAAGGGGGCGGAGGTGCTCAGAGGCCTCAGCTCAGGCTGAGTGGGAAGCTGTGCTTTTCTTGGGAATTTTCTCATCCCTGATTTCTTTCCAGCTCACTTCATTTCTATCCTCTCTGCCCAGCCCGGGCTTTGGCCATCTGCGCACTGATCTGAGGCCAGTGGGAGGGAGGCCAGGGAAAGTAAGGACTCACTGGGGACTTTACTATGCTTCTAGGCTGCCTGGACGACTCTACTGTCTCTCATTTCATCCTCCCACAGCCCAGTGAGGCGGATGCTCTTAGCTCCATTTGACAGATGAGAAAACTGAGGCTCAGGGACATTAAGGTGACTTGCCCCAAAGTGGTCCAGCCAGAATTCCAGCTCTGGATCAAATGTTTTGTCCACCCTACTGCTGCAGCCTTTTTTTTTTTTTTTTTAAATCAATAGACTATAATTATAGGGCACCTGGGTGGCTCAGTTGGTTAAGCGACTGCCTTCGGCTCAGGTCATGATCCTGGAGTCCCAGGATCGAGTCCCCACATCGGGCTCCCTGCTCAGCAGGGAGTCTGCTTCTCCCTCTGACCCTCTTCCCTCTCATGCTCTCTAGCTCTCATTCTCTCTCTCAAATAAACAAATAAAATCTTTAAAAAAAAAAGACTGTAATTATAGAGAGTTTTAGGTTTACAGAAAAACTGAGCAGAAAGCGCAGAAGGTTCCAAGGCACCCTGCCCTGGCAGTTTCCCCTGTTGGGTAATATCTTGCATTTAGTTAGTATGTTTGCAGTGCAGCCTCTTTTCAGGGATGCTGGCTGTACTGCCCTGAACCAGAGCTGGGATTAGAATCCGAATCTGCTCCCATGTCCCAGGATTTTGGGGTGGTGGGGCAGGGGAAAAGCCTTGATTGCCTTCCCTGGTGGGCTGTGAGAGTTTAGTCCAGAATGGGTCTTAATCACACAAGAGCGTGTGTTCCAGGGAAGGGCTAGTCTAATCTCCATCACCCCAGATCAAGTCTGGGAAGGCAGCCAAGCTGAACTTGGCTCTATTGTCCCAGGAGGAGAGCCTGGGCCTAATCCCGTTCCTGCCCTC